CGCCGGGGACGGGGCCGCCGGGGACGGGGCCGCCAGCTCCGTGGAAGCGCCGTGCCCCTGCTGCTTCACCCCGTGCTTCCCAGCTCCCCGGTTCCTGGCCCGGCCGTTGTAACTGCACACCTGCCTACGTGTGTACGTACGCGTTTTGCTGTCATCTTTGCTTTGTACACACTGTTACCATCATCCACCCTTCCTTTGCACCCCAGAGCCCGGTATGCGCACGCCTGGAGATACTGCTGCCCCATGCCTTTCAGTGCCTTTGCAACTTCACCTGTACATGCAAATATCCTGTCTTCTCATTCCATCCGTTCTGTACGTTCCCTTAGATGTAGAGCAGTCAGTAAGGGTTGTCAGCCTCTCTGACACTGTATCGTCATTCTTCTGTGTAATCCTTGAGATAAGTAGGAGATGAGAGCGCGCCTTTGAATTATAAACCTCTATGCTATTGCTCTAACTTTTCCCCTTTCTAGTACTGTATTCCTGCCTCATGTCCAGCTATCTCTACTAACCTTTTCTCTCCTTTCACTATGCCGAGGCATTCACACCTACCAAAATAACTCCTCTGGCTTAAATTATCCTGCCCCTGTTCTTAACATATATCCCTAATATTTGTTTGTAACTACTTACTCACATGCTCGATATATGACTTCATTATACATGTTAGTCACTCTTCTGCCTGAAATTACATAGTTCCACACTATATGTTTTGTCTGTGTATGTTCAAATGGTTCTATAATAATCGCGTTACTAATCAGTGGTCTGCTCTTCTTCCATTCACATGTTCTTTACTCATGTATGCCTTCTCATACCTTGTATTTCAGGGTATGTTTTATTTCTCATCGTACACTTCAGCTTCCAGTACAGACCTGTTCTTATACCCTTCCATTGCCCCCAAATATATTGTCTGCCCTCCTTTATCCCACTATAGAATAATACAGTCATCCCATCTCTGAGTCTGTTCACCAAACATACTTAATACTTGTGCTGGTCACTTATCTCCCAGTTTGTTCCATCATATATCATGGTTCTAGTCCAAAAAATACTCTATCAGAAAATATCTAGCTGTGCTCTAGTCATACATGTGTTTTATCCCCGCTGTCACTGGTGTAAATGTGCTTTGTTTGCATTGTTTACATGAATTTTTCCTGTGTCTCCATCCTTTAAATATCAGGCGGTACATCTCATCGCTGATTGCCTGGCCCTCAAAAACTCATTTCTTGCCTTTTCTTCTCCATCTCCCTTCTCTCATAATTAAGTCTTGTGTTATTTTGAGAAATTCCACTTCAAATTCTGTAGCCACTTGCATGAAAATCATGCTGTGCATTCATGACTTCATGTCAAGGATGTTACTATTTGCATGTTGTCGTGTTATGTGTCTGTTCTGTTATCTTTCAAAACGACCTGCATTCTCAGTCTTGTTCTCTTTGTAGTCCTTTTTCCAACTTCAGGCCTTGGTATTTCATCTTACATATTTTGCTGCTCTGCCAGCTCGATCTGACCAGAACTGGACTATCCATCTTTTCCAAAATCCCTGTTATGCCTTTATCACAGCATTCTCTTTTCGAGTATAAACTTCAAAGGCTTCCCTTTGAAAGCACCATGCAGTTTCGTCTACTCCATAACTCGGTGCTCTCCTCCTTTCCTCAAACTTAAAATAGCTTTTTAAAATAATCTGCCCCTCACCCCGCCTTCTGCAACGTTACCCATTTGAAACTACAGTCCTCTTCTTGGTTCTGTGTTCTTTCTGACCCGTTCACATTCATAAAATACGCATCATTTGTAACACCCCTTGTTGATGGTTTATGGGTTTTCTAAATAAGAGTCTTAAAATAGCTCTGCCTCAGCCTGTTTTGTTTGTATGTTCATTCAGCGCATTAGCCTGAACTGTATTAGCGGTCTGGTTTGATCCCATGGAGCGCTGAGTGCTGCCGAGACGGTGCCAAGCGCCCTCGGCTTCAGTAGCCTGTCAGGATTGCAGGACCGTAACATTAGATGATCTGGACATAGGGTTAGGAATCGCAGGCTAAATTTTCAAAAGGATTACGGCAAGTTCCTCATTCTGGTTTACTCAGCTGGATAGCTTTTAAAGGGGCTTGATTTTCAGGACGATGTCAGTGTCCCGCTTCTGAGCAATCAGGCCATTTGATGTGAAATCTTTCAGAGTAAGCCCCCAATTCACTAAAGACTTCTGAGAACAAAATCTCGTCCTTCTTTTCCATGAATTCAGAAAGTGCATTAGCTTTGATGAAATGTTAGTGCTCTGAGTTGTTAGTGCTTTTATTGCTCTGTTTCTAACAATAGTCAAAATTAGCATTTCTGCATCTTTTCAAGTTGAGCAAAGCTCGGTACCCAGGGGAAATTTATAAACAAGTGAAACGTGTTAAATATTTTTGGATTTAAAACTCGGTGGCAGTGAGAGGAAGAGTTCCAATATACCATCAAAACCCTGGATTAAATGGTTAGTGACAAGTGTCTACAAAGAATAAATACGAAGTTTACTTTATCGCTTTGAAAAAAATGGTGTGACTCAACTTGTTATGCAACGTGCTCAGTTTGTTGAAATCTGGTAACTGTGTGAGTGTGGTGAAAACAGAATAACAGTCGCTCAGTTAGTTTCTAGAAGATCTCAGCTGAAAGATACTCATGATATTGTCATCCTAACTTTGAATGAGAAGATTAACTAAACAAATGTTTTGGCTTTCATCATAGAAGGGATTGCTTGGTTAACGTGTGATCTGCTAAAGATTTCCAAACCTCTTCGCAGCTTCGGACCTTCTCTGCGTAAGTTTTAGATGTAGACTTTTGCCTGTGAGGCAAACAGCCTAGTGTAAGCCTTTTGCCAGTATTGAATTCACTTATACTCACTCTGGATTCAGCAGGACCGCTTATGGCTTGTGATATAACTAGTCATAGCAGCTACTAAATGTATGTATAAATACGGAAAACCAAAACCAGAATCCTGGGTTTTTCCCCCTCTGAGATAAGTGGAATAGCTTTCTTTAAAACAAAATTTTTAAGGGATCTGCCTTTATGAGCCTACATCAAATTGCTTGTGAGCAGCCTGTAGTCTCACAAAATAATGGCTTGGAGTAATAGGTAAAAACATACACTGAATCACAATATTGTACTGTGTACAATATACACAGTAATCACAATTATTTTTGTATTATCCTTCAAGCTTGTTTGTATTACAGAATTCTTTTTATAATTTTGAAGTGAGCTGTTTTGTTAATAGAAGAGGAATAGTTTATTAGGCTTAATAGAGCTTACGTCTGCCTGTTAGTAGGATGGTTCACAGGGATATCATAGTGGTATGTTAAAGCATAATACTACAGCATGAAGGGACACTCTCAACTCAAAATTTTTGCTTGCTTTTTTGCTTGTTACATCATCTGGGTTTTAAAGCAAACTGAGTGGGTAGACTGGTGAGAGCAGGGTCCTGCTTACTTTTCTTTGTGAAAGGAGACTATTTCTAAGGGCCTTTCCTATAGCACAGGCGACAGACAGCAAGTCTGGGACCTGCAACTTTCCTTTTTAAAGAGCGAGTGAGACGTAAGTGCAGTGTGGTCAGCACGTGTGGGAAAACGTTAAAGGACGTTTCCTTCCTCTTTTCTGATTTTGTCTTTTTCACTGGCAGGGTAGTGTCAGTCATAGCTTTGGTGCTTAATGCCTTCTGAGTTCCATTTGTGTGCTCATCTGAAAGTATGTGTATGAGCAGGTTTTCAGGCATCTACAGGATTGTTTCAAACAGTTTTCCTGTCCTTGTATGAATTTGGGAAGGGAAAGTCTGTGGTGATCACGAAGATCTCTCTTCTTCCTCAACATAGACTCAAGGGAGAGAGGGAAAGATGTTAAAATATAATAGGGGGGCTATCTTCTCATTCCAGTGGCAGAAGAAAGATGGTCATGGCAGTGTGGTTTTTGACCCTGTCCCTGGACAAGGAAGAATCTCATCTAAAAGCCCCCATGAGAGGTTTGATTAAACACGATAGGAGATAGAACAGTAATATTCAGCTTTTCCCAGCTGGCAACTGTAGGCAAACATTATGGAAAAAGGTTAAAAAAATGCAGTGAGTATATAGAAGTAGATGATCTATTCAACTCTTTTTACTTGGTTTTGACTACTCTTTGGATTCCCTTGCTTATGAGTATTCTTTGACTTAGGCTTAGGACAGAGATTCAGAGAAGAGTTTCCTATTTGTTAATTTTTTTCATTTGCTTCACCCATTTCACACCGGTCCTCCATGGTTATGCATGATGTACTTACCTTTGTGAAGGGGATTTTTAGATTTCAGGTGGACCCATTTATAAATTTATCTACTGCTTTTCAAGCTTCCTCAGCTTAGCAGGAAATAGATGACAGAATTACTGGCAAGGAGTCGCCGAAGGACCACAGCCTTGGTCAAGATCTGTTCATGAGGTGACAGTGAGGCCCCTGGACTTTCTTTCACAGTTTAAAACAAACCAAGTAAAATTAGGGCATCCCATACGTTTATAATTCAGCAAATATATTTGTGATTTTTCAGGTAATTCTTTAGTTCTTTTTAGTTCTTTATGGTTTGTAAGGGAGATTGCCTTAGGAAGCATCATCTAGAGGTTGGAATGCCACAGGCTGGACGTGTCTAGGCTGAGAGGTTTTCTTCTCCGCTCTTTCTGAAACTTGTTCTTATATTAGACGATAGGAGGAAAGGCCACACCGACGAGCTCAAGTTTGCTGTGGAAGGTCTCCCTCTCTCTTCGAGTGGCAGAGCATCCTCAGTTGCGCCTTTCCAGTGGCCTGTGGAAACACTGGTTGCCGCCTTCAGTGAAGCAGCATTCAAGTGCGTGTTTTCCACTGCCATCACTGGGTATGCAGGTGATCCCATGCTATGTGTGCTTCACACTTCATGTATGCAGTAGGTGGACATAAATTTTTACGGACACCGTCACTAGAGGATAGACGCTTTCAGTGTCTGGCCTGAAGGTTTCCACTGCCTTCTGTGGAAGATCCTGCTCTCCTTCAGTGACTACCTGGTCATCATCTGCTATAACAGAAATCCCCCATTAAAAAAAAAAAAAAATCTGACTAGATTTATCAGCCATCCAGCTCAAGTCTTTAAAGAAAAATATGAGAAGTGGAGGGAGGAAGATAGTAATTATGCAGTAGGTTTTAATTTACATTTAGGATGTTACTGGTGGGGGGGTAAGGCAGGTTAAAGAGGCAGCATTAGATAGTCTGCTACTAATTGTGTGGCTCAAGTGGAAACTTTCCAAGCATCAAGCAAAGTGTCAACTCTACTACAAAAGTTGTCAAAGTAGGATTAGGGTACCTGTGAGCAAGGGGGGTTGTAGCCCTAGTGGAAATTAAAATGCAGTCATAAATGCAGAGGGGCAACTAGCTGTGGGGTTGCCATAGTGTTGGTGACTGGGTCATTGGAGAATGCAAACTTTAGCCAGTATTACATGCATTTGGGTATATTCAGAGTTTTTTGGAGCCTGCTAGGGGGCTGGTAGGCCCAGTTAGAGACATACTCCTCCAAAAGGGACAGTGTCTGTGCCAGGAGGATCTCTGACTTTTCAGAACTTTTATGCGAGAATCTGAACAACTTTTCCAACTGGTAGATCATTAAAACGTCTTTTCTCTTCTTCTCTCTTAAATAGTGGTTTATTAAGATTGCTTGTCGAGGAAATTTTGATTCTCATGTTTCATAACTTTTGAGTATTTACTTGCAACTCTGACATTCTTTCAGGATAGGTTTTTGTACATGACTTGTATTGACAGCCAGAGAGAAGAGGGCATGGGAGGAAAGGTGAGCGTCTGCATTTGCATTGGCTCTGAAAGATCCAGATGAGAAGCTGCACAGCAGGAGAGAGGTCAGTGGAGAAGAGAGATTTGTGAGTCAGTGAAGCTGTGTAAGGGAATGAGGTCAGTCTGGAATAAGGTTAAGAGGGTAAAAGAGGAGGATTTTAAGCGACACCAAGAAGACATGGTGAGGAATGGCGGAGGAGGAAGGTGCTCTGAATGAGTTGTAATACAAAACTCCAGATCATAGGAGACTACAGAAAGGAGGGGAAGATACAGGCATAAAAATGCATTCTGTAACAAAAGGTGCAATAGCACCTATTGCCATTGAGAAAGTCCACTCATATATTGAAGTGAGGAAGAGAAGGGTATTGCAATGTGGAAAAGACAGAAATGGAGTGGGTTAGTGCTAGCTGACTGTTGTAGAATTTTTTTTTCTTGATTACATTTATTAAGTGTCATACTGACACTAAAGGCTTATTAATTATATCGTACCTTTCCGTAAGGGGATGTTTGATGCAATGGCTTTTTAGACCCATTTAACTTTTTATCTATTTTTAAGACTACTTACACTTCCTTGACATCTAAAGCATTTGTAGTGTACACAAAACAGTCTGTTATGAAAAAGGCTGTGCACTTCTTAGGTTTTCCAAGAAGTGGAAATGAGGCTAGGTAGCCCAAAAGGTTGAACAACAGTTCTTGAAGTTTGATATAGGTAACTGTTAGTTGCTGTAGGTGACTATGATAAAGGAGCACAACGTAGAAGCTGTTGTAATGATCTGCAGTGAAACAACCCATCTTCAGTGTGTATTCACACTCCAGTATGAGTGGGGTTTGTGTACAGCATCTTCGGAGCTAAGGGAAATAATCATGCTTTAGATAGTTTTTTTTTTATCTGTGTTCTTATATGGCTACTTATGGAAAAATGAAAGCGTTCATCTCCTATTTAAGTTGTGATCTAAATTGTGCATGATACACTATGGAATATAAGTAAAAGATAAGCGGGGTAGACTGTGGATAGGCAGTGGTGCAGATTTGTGAGAGGTGCCTGTTACATGTGTGTTTTGTTCTTGTCCTGTTTGATGGAACTCAGGGACAGTCTGAAATGCAGGCCTCTGTCATGGTAGGTATAGGAAGGCTGACAAATAAGGTTTAAGCAAGGTTGAGGTTATGCGATATCTGAAGGGCAGCAGGAGTGCATTGGTGGGTGGATGAATAAAATGAAAGTGGTAGAAACTTAGGTAACATCTGAGGGGCACCAAGAGGAAATTTTCATTTTCTTCGTTTTAATTATGCTTTTCTTCACAAATCCTTAATGCAATGCGGTGTTTGTAAAAACACTTAACAGTTGTGGCAATGCCAAGTTCTATCAGACATGAGTTAGTGTGGAGGAGGCAGAGGGATGTAGGTCCTGGGTGGTACCTAACCTGTGTGTTACACACGTGATCCCTGTCACAAGGTTGAGTAGTTTTAGTGGGACTGTGTGGCTCCCCCCTTTCGTCTGCATCTTTATCTCTATTCTGTGTTCTTTCATACCTGGTCTATAGTTGCTAATACGATTTTTCTCTAGATGGTGTTTGATTTTAGCTTTTAAATCAAAATATAAAATAATGGGTCCTTAGAAGAGATGGAAGGAAATAACCAAGGGCTTGCTTAGCTGGTTTCTGTTAGCAGTTAGTGGACCGTAAAGTTTTTAAGGGGAAATGCCTCTATGTTAGAGAGTGAGTTGTAAGTTAGGGAGGAGCAGTGTTTCTGAAAGCTTGTTAGAATTAATTAGTTCTCTGCTCTGTAGTATATTTGTGGCCTGACTTTAACCTGACTGTGGAGAAGACTTCGTGACGTTTTGAAGGACGGTAGGACACTGCCCTTGTTTGGAGATGTGGAACCTATATAGCAGTGAACAGTTACAGGAATAAATAATAGCTGTATGACCACATGCATGGTTTCTTCATTATTGCACACATGCTTAATGGTTTCTTGCATTGGGTGCTAACACAGCTACTTTGTAAGCAGTATGAGCGTTACACGTTGCAGGCTTGGGTGGCAGTCCATGAATAAACTTCATTCTTGTGGTACCTAGTGAAAAAGCACATGCCCTGAAACAGACATCTTTGGGTATAGCTAGAAAGCAGATGGAAGAAATGACAAAAACATATAAAAAAGGATACATATGGATTAAAAAAAAATGAAAGGCAATACTAGGAGGCAGAGAAGAAAACAAGAAGGGGGCCGCAATGATGCAAGGTACGCAGCAAGGCATACCTATGGCTGAGGTTCAGCATGGGAGGGAGCAAAATTGTAGATCCTCTCCACTGCCTGAATGCTCAGGTTGCTCAGATGAATTGAAATAACACAGGAAACCTCAATATCGCTAAAATAGCCATTGGTTATGGATTCACATTCATTATTTACATTCTCAGGTTAATTTTGATAAGTGATAGTCCTGTGTAGCACTGTTAATATAAATACAGACAGTAATAAAATTTGCTTCTGAGTTTTTACATGAAGTCTGGTGTTGAGTATTCTGAATACAGAGTTCAAAATGCAGTAAGTACATGAGGAATGCATTGGTTTTACCTCTGACCTAGTGTGGCAATATTCTGCAATAACCTATCATGGGCTTTTTGTTGGAATGGGGCTGATGTACGTTACACTTCCTAGAAATATTATGCAGAGGTTTTCAAAACATTCTATTTTAATGTTACTGAAGTATCCAAGAGTTTCACAACATCTTGGAACATCTTGGCTCCAAACTCATCTAAACAGAACTTTATAGGCAGGGTTATAAGGTCATCTGGGGAAAAAATTTGTTTCCTTTTTAACCCATTCACAGCAATTTCATATATGTTTTTGTTGTCACCTCATGAAAATGGTAAACAGACATTTGTTAAAGGATTGAGGTTTTCTGTTCCCGTACCATATTCCTAATTCTTGCTTCTGGGTCTTGCCTCTTTAGTATGCTCCTCAGGGTCTTTCCCTGAGGATTACAACATTTTTGGTCTTTTGATGCATTATGAAGTAGAACATGGAATATTTTTCTTCCGATGTTTGTCTGCAACTGCCGGAGCCTAATTTTTGTCCTAGGAACATCTTATTCAAGTTTTTGTTGTGGTTACTGCATCTGACTTCTACTGTACATTCAGAAGCTCTGCCCCTGGCTATACAGCCTTTGCAATAACAGTTACTGTACATAGACTGTGTATGCTTGAATGATTCTGACTGTATTCATTATTCTCAGAAAACCGAAGTGCTAAAGAACATGCTGCACTTTGGGGACGGGAATGAAGGACTACAAGGACTCCTAAAATTGGTTATGCTCTTAAAGTTCTCATGAAATCATATCCTGAGCCTTGTTCCTGAGACATCCCTGCCCAGTTAAATCCAGACTGACTGCGGTCATGATTATATGTTACTGTCTGTCGGTGGCAGCTGTGACTTAAAAGCTTGCCATCCTCCACCTTGCCTCGCTAGTCTTTTTTTCCACCTTGTTAGCCCATAGGTCTGCTGGTTAACTGTTTGGCTTCTCTGTAGCTGGGTCTCCATAATTATCTGGTTTAAAACATAGTTTCTTTTAAAGCGGAATCATTTCACAAATCTGATAGAGCAGCCACAAAATAGGTGATTTGGCAAAATAAGCTTTTAGATCTGATCTGATCTGCTGGTAGTGAGGATGGCCTGAGATTCAGGCATTACGTCACCCAGTTTACTGCATACTGACACCAGCAGAGCAGAAACAGGGTGCTTTTCAGAGTTGGACTAACACACGGACTTCTCTGTGTGTTTTATCTTTCTCGTTTTAAAAATTGGCTTCCCTTGACTTAACAGACTAACACTGAATATTAACTGCAGTCAACTCCTTCTGTCAAAGGTTTAAGTCTAATATATATTTATTTGCTGCATGTTATTCTCAGTTTCATGCAGAGCGTGTTGCTTTTCACATGATAAACATATTTTTCTAATTTCTTAAGCTTTCCAAATTTAATTAGGAAATTTGAGTCCTCTTTCATGCTAATCAGTAATGCATTCTGTCATTTTCAATTAAATATGCTTTGCTTTATAGTTCTT